GGCTGAAGCTCCCCACTCTGGCCAGGGAGCAAGGTGAGCCCCCTGACGGTGCCCCTCGGGCAGTGTCTCCCTGCGACTGTCAGTTACGGCCACCCTTCGCTAGCGATCAAGTTAGACAGGTGCTGCTTTGCTGCTCCTCAGGGTGCATGGAGTCTCCCTCAGTAGTGCGTTCTTCTTGTAAGCAAACATCTCCTCAAGCCTCCTGTCCCTGGATCAGCCATCACTCGTCAGCCCGTTTCTGCAGGGCTTGGTCCTACCTGTACTGTCCTGCAAGGACGCTTGGCTTTCCTTCTGCCACGGGTACCCCAGACCTGAGGCTGTGACTGGCACCAGCAGGTGCTGAAGGACCTGTGAGCGAAGTGCAGCAAGACAGTGTGGTCAGACAGACAGACAGACAGACAGACAGACGGCACTGTGAGACAGACAAACAGAACACTCAGACAGATAGCACTGTGAGCCAGACAGACAGCACAGTGAGGTAGAACAGAGGGATTCTGCAGAGCCAAGGGGCTTAGGGTCAGCACCATAAGGGTTGTAGAGTTCAGGGTCTTCCTCCCTCCCTCCCTGCCTGCCTCCCTCCCTGCCTGCCTCCCGCCCTGCTTTCCTCCCTTCCTCCCTTCCTCCCTCCTTCCCTCCCTCCCTCCCTCCCTGCCTGCCTCCCTCCCTGCCTTCCTCCCTGCCTGCCTCCCTCCCTCCCTCCCTGCCTCCCTCCCTGCCTTCCTCCCTCCCTCCTTCCCTCCCTGCCTGCCTCCCTCCCTCCCTCCCTCCTTCCCTCCCTCCTTCCTTCTTTTTGGGCCAGGGTCTCAGAGCATCCCAGGCTGCTCAGAGTGATTCTGTCAGGACCCTCAGTGCGGAACTACAGATTACAGGACCACACTGACTCCTCTTCCCATCACTTCGGCAGAGCCTCATGGCTGGGATTGTACACTCCTACCACACTGCACCCAGCTCAATGATTTCTTCGTTCCACAGGAGTAGAATCTTGAAAATAACTGACCTCCATATCCATGAGCTTTTCAAGGATGTAATCAACCATGCCTCAATTAAAAAAACAACCTTAAAAATTTTATTTTATGTGCATATCTGTGTACCATGTGCATTCAAAATTCTTGGAGGCCAGAGGAGGTCCTCAGATCCCCTGGAACTAGAGTTACAGACAGTTGTGAGCTGCCATGTGGTTGCTGGGAATTGTACCCGGGTCCTCCGGAAGGGCAGCCAGTGCTCTTAACCACCGAGCCATCTCTCCATAGCCCCTATTTTTAAGTTATATCTAAGGACTGGGTATAGGAGTGTTGGGGTGCCTGCCTAGCTTCCCTGAGGCCTGAGTCTCTCGAGAAAGTGCTGGTGCTGACTTGCACTCTCTAGTGAAACCTGGGGTGGCCACAGAGCCACACTTGGAAACCTGCATCTCCCTGAGCTCACCGAAAAGTGAGGGAAGTGGGGGAGTTATCATATCCATCACTCTCAGTGTATTATGGGGTGAGAACAAACTGCTCCAGTTTCAGATGAAGTTACTAAACCGAGTCACAGCTTCCAAGGTTCTGGCCCATGGTCACCGGTTCTAGTTTCTGGGCTGTGTGTTTATGGCAAGGCATGCCATGGCGTGCTGTGTGTGGTGGGGCAGAGCATCACCTGAAGGCCTGCTGGAGGGAGAGAGCCATCAGGATTCTAAATGCTTGCTGGGGTCCAGCCCCTGTGACCTCACTTCCACCCGCTAGGCCCCACCCCTCAAAGCTCCGAACAGCACTACAGGCTTCGTGGCCTTTGGGGTGCATCTCAGGTCCAAGTCATAGCAGGAAGTGGCCTGGAACAATTCAAAACTGTACTTCCGGGGGGGGTCCTCCACCTCCAAGGGGGCCCTATCAGTTCATTAACTCAGCAGTGAGGTGAGTGCTGTCATGGTCCGGGGAGTCTCAATAGCATCTCCATCTGGGGACCAGGCATTAAGCAATGAACCTCAAACTGTTACATCTAGTGATTGTTCTCATCCCCAGGACCACCAGCTCCGTTCTGATTTTTGTTGTTGTTGTTTTTTATTTATTTCGAGATAGGGTTTATCTGTATAGCTTTGGAGCCCATCCTGGCACTCGCTCTGTAGACCAGGCTGGACTCGAACTCACAGAGATCTGCCTGCCTCTGCCTCCCAAGTGCTGGGATTAAAGGTGTGGCCACCAACGCCGGGCTGTTTTTGTTGTTGTTTGTTTGTTTGTTTGTTTTTTAATATGACCTTTATGAATGTTTCCTGGACATTCACAGTCAAACTCATAATATTCTGGGTGTGCAGAGGTGCGTATGAGAGAGGGCAGGTATGCATAGACGAGCGTGTAGGTGTGTGTGTTGAGCCAGAAGTTAACCTTAGGCATCCTTTCCCAGGTGCCCAAGGAGGGCGGAAGGGAGTTAGAATTGCCGCCTTCCAGCTGAAGGTTCTGTGACTGACCACCAGGTGGCGCTGTTGTCCATGAGCTGAGCAGGGGCCAGGCCCCAGAAACTTAAATTCTAGCTCTCCAGACCGCAGCTCCTGGCCTTCTGCTTCCTGCCCTTAGGGAGCAGGGCTTTGCAACACCAGCGGCAGCACCCTCAAGATACCAGCTCTCACCACACTGTTACCAATCCTCGCACAAAAGGCCAGTTCTTTTTAAATGTACAATGAGTCTGATAAAGATCAGTTGCAGGAAGGCAAACAGACCTAATGGGTAGTGGGACTTTCTGCACAAGCCTGGAGAGCTGTGCTCAATTCCTGGAGCCCATGTAAGTGTGCCAGGAGACAGTCCTGGTCCCCATATGCATGTTGTGGCACAGGCGTGAGAGCATCCACACACAGTAATAGCAAATGGAAAAATTGAAAGACCAATTGTGCCGGGCGTTGGTGGCGCACGCCTTTAATCCCAGCACTTGGGAGGCAGAGGCAGGCGGATCTCTGTGAGTTCGAGACCAGCCTGGACTACCAAGCGAGTTCCAGGACAGCCTCCAAAGCCACAGAGAAACCCTGCCTCGAAAAAAAAAAAAAAAAAAAAAAAAAAAAAACAACAACGAAAGACCAATTGTTAGGCACTGGGCCTGTGGCTTAGTGTCAGGGCTCGTGCCTAACATGTGCAGGGTTCAAATCCCAGGTCTACCACTTGCTGACCCTGACAGTGGGAGGCCCAGTTTCCTTGTCTGTAAAGTGGAGACTTCGATAACTCTGGGTGGCAAACATTCTCTTTTGTGTGGGGGGATGTATACATGCTTGTGTGTACAGGTGCATATGCATACATGTAAGACTGTGTGTGGAGGCCAGAGGTCAGAGGTCAGTCACACATGTCATTCTTCAGGAGTCCTCCACTGTTTTTGTTTTTTGTTTAACAGAAGTCTCTCTTCGTAGCCCTGACTATCCTGGAACTCACTATGTAGGCTTGGCTGTGCTCACTGTATAGCCAGGCTGGCCAGGAACTCACAGAGATCCTCCTGCCTCTGCCTCCCAAGTGTTGACATTAAAGGCGTGCACCACCATGCCTGGCTTCCACTCTGGTTCTTAACACAATGTCTCTCACTAGGCTCATCTTTTAGAGTAAGCTGGCTGGTCAGTAAGCCCCAGGGTTTTTCCTGACTCTGCTTCCCTCGCACGAGGGTTACAAAGAAGCCTGGCTTTCTCCATGGGTTCTGGGATGAAGCTCAGGTCCTCATGCCTGGAAGGCCAGCACTTTCCGCACTGATTCCTCTCTGCAGCCTAAGGCAGCGGCTTCTCTCATAGTGCAGGCTCGCAGGCGCCCCGCGTCAGGTCTCTGCACCGCAAGGCAGAAGGGACAGCTGGGCTCAGGGCCCATCTCCACAAGGAAAAGAAAGAGCCCGACCAAACTGAAATCTGGCTTTTAGAGAGATGCCTGGGATTCAGAGCACTTTTAGGCGGGGCAGAGAAGGCAGGTTGAACAATTCTAGCCTAGTTGATATTTAAAAGAAATAGGTCTGGTCTCAGGGCGCTGCTTTTCCAGCGCAGCTGGCTGGCAGGGCAGAGAGACCCTCTTTTTGTCCTCTGAATACTGGCTGGCCTTGGCTTCAGGCCACAGAGGAAGGTCTGCAGAGGCTCTGAGGCGCCTGCCCCTCCCACAGTGTCGGCCAGGCTCTCCGTGCTGCCGGCTCCTCCGTCCCTGAAGCCACCCTTCTGATCTTACAGGACTTTTGATGTAGATTCACTTGTGCCTCGGTTTCGGAGTCTCCAACAGCCCGGAGTCATCGCTTCCTCTTCCCAGGGTCTGAGAGCTGGGTTGGCCTATCTCTCCCCGTCTCCAGCACAGGACCATTCTAAGCTTTCAATACCTCTCACTTAGGCTTTGAGCAGGGCCTTTGATTGGCCTAGAGCTAGCTAACGGAGCGAGGCTGGCTGACCAGCGAGCCCTAGAGATCTGCCTGTCTTCATACCCCAGGGCTGGGAGTGGAAGGAGAAGTGTTGGCCCAGGACCCCCGAGTCCCCAGTCCTCAGTGCTCAGTCCTCAGTCCCCAAGTTCTCAGTCCCCAGTCCTCAGGTCCCCAAGTCCTCAGTGCTCAGTGCTCAGTCCTCAGTGCTCAGTCCTTAGTCCCCAAGTTCTCAGTCCCCAGTCCTCAGGTCCCCAAGTCCTCAGTGCTCAGTGCTCAGTCCTCAGTCCTCAGTGATCAGTCCTCAGTCCTCAGTGATCAGTCCTCAGTCCTCAGTCCTCAGTGCTCAGTCCTCAGGTGCCCAAGTCCTCAGTCCTCAGTCCTCAGTCCTCAGTGCTCAGTCCTCAGTCCTCAGTCCTCAGTGCTCAGTCCTCAGTGCTCAGTCCTCAGTGCTCAGTCCTCAGTGCTCAGTGCTCAGTCCTCAGTCCTCAGTCCTCAGTACTCAGGTGCCCAAGTCCTCAGTGCTCAGTCCTCAGTCCTCAGTGCTCAGTCCTCAGTGCTCAGTCCTCAGGCCCCCAAGTCCTCAGGTCCCCAAGTCCTCAGTGCTCAGTCCCCATGTTTACATGGCAAGGACTCACCACCACGCCCTGCCACACTTTTTGGATGGTGACTGTACTCACGGGAGGATCTGTATTTTTGTTTGTTTTGTTTTGGTTACTGTAGTTTCTGTTGAGACAGACTATATAACACAGACTGGCTTAGAATTCTTGACCCTGCTGCCTCAGTCTCCCGGGTGTGGGGATGACACGTGTGACTCGACACTCTGAGCACTATGGGCCTTCCACGGGGTCCGCTCAAACGGCCGCTTGACTCTGTCTCTGGCCGAACTTCCCCATTGCTGCTCTCCCCTGGGTCAGATGCCACCACCCTGTCTTTTGTTCCTCGTGTTTTGGGGGTCTTCGTTTCCTGTGGTTTCGGGGATGGAACTCAGGATCTCGTGCGTGCCAACCAAGCTCTCTTCCACGAAGCCACAGCCAGAATCTTCATGTTCAGACGCCTGCCGAGGCCAGACAAATGCATTAGATCCCTGGAGCTAGAGTTTCACATAGTCATAAGCCTGACTGGGCACTGGGACTGAGGTCAGGTCCTCTGGGATAGCAGCTAATGCTCTCAAAAGCTGGGCCATCTCTCTAGCCCAGGCTAGCCCCGAATCTCTGGCGTCATTATGCCGGGCTCCTGCCTGAATTGCTTTTGCCTTTGTGCTCGCTGTTCCCTCCGCCTGCAATGTCCTTCACGTAGCTGGCTCCTTCCAGCAAACTCTGATGCCACCTAATGGTGTGGAAACTGATAAAGCCTCTGTCTGAATTCCCCAAGTGGGGGCTGGGAGCATGGCTCAGTGATACAGCCCTCGGGGATGGAACTTCATCAGCATGGCCCTACTGCTGTGACAGTCCCAGGTCCTTTTAACCTACATCATGGGCCCTCACTTTCTTCCATACTTTATGCTCATCTGAGACATCCTCCCCCATTTACAGTGTGGAAGCTACGAGTCAGCTTCCCGGTGAAAACACACACAGACTCAAGCACATCAAAAGCAAAGCTTGACCTCAGCTCCCTAAGTGGACACACAGGAGCTCCAGCCTGATTCCGGGGTGGGTTCTTATTCCTCGGAGTCCGGTGATCTCCTCCCTCTGTGTCCCGTGAGCACATGCGGTCCAACTGATTGTTCAGATATTGAAGTGGCTCCATCCAACTTAGCAAAGAGCAATTACTTACTTGTGAGGAAGCTTCCCCAACCATTCAGGTTGTTTGCTGGTCCTGGATGGTGCCAGATGCCTCCAGAAAATCCATGTTCCAGAGCTCTGTCATCTGCATGTGTCCATCCACAGGGGAGGGGTCCTAGCCACAGATGCTCAAGCCCTTTCCAGAAAATGATGCCAAGTCTGCTTAGGACCTGTGTCCCCATCCCAAACTAAGTGAGCTTCAAGTGACAGGCTGCAGCGGGAGCAGACGACTGGGCAGGTGGGACCCACAGCAGGCCACGGGTGATTCTGACCATGTGGGATGGATTTTATGTGGTCGTGCCAGACCAAAGGAAAACAATCATGTTAAAAGCTCTTGAAGTCCTAGAGTTGTCCAAGAGTGCTTCTCTAAGAGCTGGCCAAGCAGAGCTAGTGGCAACCTCGAGACTCCAAAGAAGTACTGAAAGCAAATGGACTTTCGGAACCTCTTCTGGGGACTTAATAAGCAGAGCAATCTCTACTGGCAGCAAAGTCAGTCTCACGAACACTGCCGAGCCCACTGGAACCTGTTGCTTCTGTGTGCTTGCAGCTAGGAAGGGTGAAAAGAAAGGTGTTGACTTTTTTCCAATCCAGTTGCAGTTTTGTGAATATAAAAGTAAGTGCTATGCTGGGAATACAGGCTACCTTCGGAGGCAAAGGGTGGGGAGTCAGAGGCTAGCCTGGGATAGGCAAGCAAGACTTAAAAACAACAAATGAACAAGTACCCGCCCCTCCAATAAATAAAGTGACAGATAAAGGAAGAAACGGATTCAGAGAGAACTGAGATTTCTTGACTCTCTCTCTCCCCCTCTCTCTGTCTCTCTCTCTCTGTCTCTGTCTCTCTCTGTCTCTGTCTCTGTCTCTGTCTCTCTCTCTCTCTCTCTCTCTCTCTCTCTCTCTCTCTCTCTCTCTCTCTCTCTCTCTTTCTGTGTGTGTGTGTGTGTGTGTGTGTGTAAAGAAGTTCCTAGGAGGCTATCACAAGTTGGGACACAGAGCTGGAGAGAGGGCTCACAGAGTAACAGCATCCCCTGCTCCTGCAGAGGACCCTGGTTCAGTTCCTAGCACCCATACCAGGCAGCTCACAGCTATCTGTGACTGCAGCCCCAGGGGCTCTGATGCCTTTGGCCTCTGGCATCTTTAGGCACTGAATTCACATGACACACCCCAACAGAGACACATAATTAAAAAAAAGAGGGGCCTGGAGAGATAGCTCAATGTTGAGCAGGTGTTGCTTCTGTAGAAGACCTGGGTTCTGCTTCTGGCACCCTCATGGTGGCTCACAACCATCTGTAATTTAAGTTCCAGGGGATCTAATGTCCTCTTCTGGCCTCTGTGGGCAGCCAAAAATGCCCACACATACAAAATGAATAAATATTTTTAAAAATTAAAACTCAAGACAAATTTGTAAAAAAAAAAAAAAGAAAGCAATCAGGGGAGAGAAAGGGGGACAAGATCTAGAGCTTGGAGAAGCTGAGGACAGAGTGTGGTATGCCGTGGGTCTGGGAACTACAGAACACACATCAGCCTTGCCCCGGATTCTTGGCCACACCCCACTCCTGGTACCAGTTCCAGACTCCATTGGCTTCTGTGACACCTCCCAGGCTCTTTCTCCTCATCTGTGAAATTGCATCACCTGCTTTAGAGTAGTGATGTCAGAATGCAATGAGCTCATGAGTACCTGAGAACCACTCATGGCATAAAGTCACGCCTAGGGAGTCCCAGACACTCAGTTCCAGGACCCCTGTGAATACCAAGGTCTGAGAAAATGAGCAAGTCCTTCTGTAAAATGGCACTGTGTACCTCACACGACCCCTAAGCAGCTTGGTAGTGCCCGATACTTATCTGTTCTGCAGATTGCTGGGCTGTATTGTGTGGGAAATATTGACATGACAGGGACTTCTGTATGTTCAGTTGAGAAGCAGTTTCCCCTCAAATATGTTCAGTTGACTGAATACATGGGTGTAGAATCTACACATGTGTAGGGCTAAGTGACTGTCATAGTTGTGTGACTCTAAGTAGGATACTCAATGAAAACAGTTTTAACTTTACCTCAGCTGATAAATAGTCATGCCGAGCGGAGCAGTGAGAGGTGGGGTTTTTTGTTTGTTTGTTGTTTTCAGACAGGGTTTCTCTGTTTAGCTTTGCAGCCTGTCCTGGAACTCATTTTGTAGACCAAGCTGGCCTTGAACTCACAGAGATTCACCTGCCTCTGCCTCCAGGTGCTGGGATTAAAGGCGAGCGCCACCAACGCCCAGCTTGAGATGTGGTGTTTTGATCTGGACACACGCTATCAGGAGAGTCAAAGTCATTGCCGTGTCCAACGTCTCCCAAGCTTCATACTGAAAATCAAGGCGCTGAATAAATCAAACCTTCTGCCCCTCCCCTCCCCCTTCTTCCTTTCTTCTTCCTCTGTATGTATACACGTGCATATGTGTGTGCACACGCACATATGGACACAGCTATTGTTTCTCAGGCTCCTTAGTTTTGAGGCAGGGTCTCTGGTCGGCCTGGCACTTACCAGGTAGGCGAGGCCTGCTTGCAAGTGAGCTCCAGGGTCTGCCTGTCTCTGCTCCTGGTGCTGGGACTACAGACATGGGTTTCATGTGGGGCAGGCACTTCCCCGCTGCTTTTATTTAAGGCGTTTTTATGATCCCGAGAGGAAGCCCCATACTCACTGTTTATTTTTGTTGAGGGGGGAGGACAGGCTTGTGCTAGGTAGCCAAGGCCAGACTCATGTTCTGGCCTCCTGAGTGCTGGGGTGAGAGGTGACTGGAACCACACCTGGCTGCTGCTGTTCGCTTTTGCTGGTTCTCAGAACTGCAAGGGGGTACAGCTTCTATCTCACTCTAATCAAGGCTCCAGCTGGCCCTCTAACACCCTCTGCATTCTCCTCCTCTATGGGCTGTTCTGGACTAGTTTCTCCTGCAACGAGTAAGACAGTCTCTTGGTCACATCCAGTAAGAATGGCAGCATGACTGGTTCCCAAGGGTGCCCTTGATCACATCTACTCCTCCCTCCCTCCCTCCCTCCCTCCCCCCTCCCTCCCTCCCTCCCTCCCTCCCTCCCTCCCTCCCTCCCTCCCTCCCTCCCTTCCTTCCTTCCTCCCTCCCTCCCTCCCTCCCTCCCTCCCTCCCTCCCTTCCTCCCTCCCTCCCTCCCTTCCTCCCTCCTCCCTCCCTCCCTCCCTCCCTCCCTCCCTTCCTCCCCCTCCCTCCCTCCCTCCCTCCCTCCCTCTCTCTCTCTTTCTTTCTGGAACAGGGTCTCACTCTGTAGCCCAGGACAACCTTAAAGATGCTCACTTAAATCAAACTTGCAGCTATCCTCCTGCCTCAGCTTCCCTAGTGCCGGGATGACAAGCAGAAAAACCGTGAAAAGCTCAGGAATGCTTTCTTAGAAGACAGATGTGCCTTCCCACAGTCTCTGGAAAGCCTTTTGGAGCTCACTGGTCCACACGTGCCCATCCATGGACAAATTGCTGACGAGGAGGGCGCTGTCTCTGCCCCTCTGACACGAGTCTGAGTTTACGCCCCTGCTCCACTAACTCGTGGCATGTGGCTCTGCAGCCGTGGCTTGGCCTCCTGTACTGAGACTCGGAGCACCCTGCTCTTTGTCCAGTTCTAAGGAGGTGAAAGGAACGATGACTGTGGTGCCCAGTGAAGCTTTCCCCACACAGCCATGGGCTTCCCAGCTTCAGGAGGCACCATGTACATACATGGTGTAGGTGACAGTGTCCCCTGGGGGCTCTTCGGAGTAGCGGGTTTGCTAAAAGCCTCCCAAGAGTCCGTGTGAATGTAGCAACGTGTGCCAAGTGTTAAAGTTGAAACACAGAGAGGCTTAGTAATTAGTCTGAGGCCACACAAGATGCAAGCCGGTTTCAAATCCAGACCCCAGATCTTGTCCCCTTGTCACCTCATAGCCTTTAGTCTCTTACAGTTGCCTGAACTGTCTGTGGCCCAGCTTCCCACATTTCACTTCGTATTTGAGGCTCTGAAACTCCATCGGTCCCGCAAGTCACTTGCTGAGCTAGGCTTGAACACAGGTCTGCCCGGGCCCAGCTTGAAGCCCATTAGTGCTAATGACTTGGCAAGAACAGACACCCAACCACGGCCGTGATCACTGTAGAAAGTTCTAGTGACTTGGGTTTTAGCACTGTCAGTGGATCTCGCTCTCTTCTGGGTGAGAGTGTGAGCTGCCTTGAAGAGCCTGAAGAGAGGAGAGGCAGCATGAAACACAGGAGGCGCAGTGTAGACAGGGGCCAGGGCTGGGAAGGGACTCCCCCGAATTCTTGGCTTCTCTATCCCTGCCTCTATGTGGTCAGATTTCTGAACCTGTGGCAAAGCACCACCGTGGAGAAGCTCATTTGTTGGGATTCTCAGTCCACGGTCACTTGCTGCTTTGGGTCTGTTGTGAGGCAGCTTCCGTATGGTAAGGGCGATGGCTACCAGTCAGGGAACCGGGAGCCACAGACGGCTTAGCTCACTGCAGCCTGAGGTGGACACAGCCAGGTAATGGGCGTCTGGTCAGTACACAAGCTTCCTCCAGGCTAATAACACCGGTGATAAGTTGACACCTCTGGCTGATGTGGTGGCACATAGGCTGTCATCCTAGTACTTTGGATAATGAGACAGGAAGATGACAGGGTCACAGCCAGTCTGGGTCACACAGTGAGACCATGTCACAAAGAAACCAAGAGTTTGGGTGTGGTTTGATGGCAAAGCCCCTGTGTAGATTCCTTAATTGAGGGGCTGTGGCATGGCACAGAAGTATAGCTCCTGCCTAAAACCTCCCAGGGAGGGGCTGTGGCCGTGGCCCAGTGATAGAGCTTCTGCCTAGAATCCCCCAGTGAGGGGCTGGAGGTGTGGTCCAGCCCCGCCTATCTAGTCTGCATGGGACTCCACACTGGAAAAGCAAGCTGGCTGCTGAGAGCAGATGAGTTCACCCGCTTTGCCCTGTCATTGAGAAATCACCGCTAGATTTGGCATTTGAGTCCCCTGTGCTTGACTACCCTAGAGAACTCCTAAGGTGCCCAAACTAGGTGTCTGTTGTCTGGGTCAGGGAGAAGTCCACCTGTGCAAGGCAGCAGATGCCTCAGGCACCCACGACCTGTAGAGAGACAGAACTCTGGATCTGCAGACTGCAGATCCAAGGAAGCCCCTGGGTAATTTGAAGACACAAGGGCCATCGTGCGGGGTCCAGTCTAACAGTCAATTCCCCAGAGAGCTCACCCTGTCCCAAGAAACCTAAGCCACTCCTGGGAGATGTCACTGATTTGTGGGCTGGAGTCTCTCTGCCATGAGCCAGTCCTCACCCTTTAAAGGACCCATTGCCTCAATACCACTGTGCTGGACGTGAGGCCCGGAGGGCAGTGGCCAAGCATAAAGACGGGAGGGTCAGGGTTCTAAGGTTTCTGCTGGGATCACCACCCCCACGAGCACGGGGGTCCCCCCCCCGTCACATGACCATGCAGAATTGGAAAGACAGCTGAGAAATAGTGCCTGTACCCAGGCTGCTAGTGGCATGGGCAGCTTCTTGAGTAAAGGTGACTGATTTGGGACACACTTGACAACCTTTCTCTGTGACGCACACCACTCCCGGTGGATACCGGTATGCTCATAGCCAACCCCCATCCTGCTGCACCCCCACCCCCAAGGCTCCTGGCTTCACCCTGGAGCTTTGCTGCCTCCAGCCCTGAAGGCTTGCTTTTCTTCAACACTGACGTACGGAGGAATCCACCATTTCCCTCTTTCTCTTTAGACGCTGCTTCTCTGGGTCCAGAAAATGCCTGGTCCCATTCTAAGGCTGCCAGCGGGAGGGACAGTCACAGGCACAAAGGCAGAGATGTCTTTCTCTTGGGAGCCTGATGGGGAGTTCAGACGGTTTTCTTGGTAATACTTTCCGGTGGTTTTTGTCTTTTCTTTTGAGAAAGCTCGCATTGCCCTGAAACTCACAATCCGCCTTCCTGCTTCCCTAAGTGGGTGTGTACCACCACGCTCGCTTTGAAATACCTGTGTTTATGTTCATGTGTGTTCAGGGTCTCCCTCAGGCACACTCTGCCTTACATTTTTCTTTTCTGTTTCTGGTCTGTGTGTGACTGTGTGTCTGAGGGGTGGCATGGGGGGGGCACCGCACATGTGTGTCCCCACCTTCCACGTAGCTTGAGGTAGGGTCTCTTTGTCTTTTGCCTCAGCGTAGCTAGCCAGAGGGATTCTGGGTGAGTCTCTGATCTCCACTCCTCACTTCTGTGGGAACTCTGACATTACAGATGTGCATCGCTCTATCTGGCTTTTTACACAGGCTCCTGGGATGTCTGCCTATGTCTCTAGCACTTTTACCTGCAGAGCTGTCTCCAGTACCCTCACCTTATTTTTTTGAAACAGGGTCACTCAATGAACCTTGAGTTCACTTATTCTCTCAGGCAGCACCCGAATTCTCTTGTCCGGCTTTTACCCACCAGGGCTCTGACTTGGGTCGACATGTTCCTAAGGCGAGCACTTTACTGACTGGGCACTTTCTCAGCCTGCCTGGTTGCAGAGTGTGAGAATATATTGAGTGAGCTGGATTTCCATTTGTGGTGGGACGAGGTTGTGGAAGTTTTGGGCTTTGTTTCCTCAGGAGGAGGCAGGGTCCCTGCAGCCCTGGGGTGTGTACACAGCACAGCAAGCTGCTCCCACCGCTTTTGCCTTAGAAGCATTTTTTCCACCACTCCAGCATCTTTCCAGACAGTTCTCTTCCTCCCCCAACTCGAGGACTTTTTCCAAGCGTTCGGCTCCAAAAGTGCTGAGGCCGCGGCTGTGTCTCAGAGCTCTGCACTCCTGTTGTCTCTGGAAGGCAGCCTGCAGAGATGTGCCAGCCCCTCCCGCTCAGGGCGGCCAGCCATCCTGTATGCTGGGACTGAGCCTGGGCGGCTCTAAAAGCACTCCTCCTCTAACTAGCCCATGACTCTGCTGTAACTTAAAAAACCTTGAATTTAATACTCTTGTCTATTTGTATTTTGAGTCAGGGCATAACTACAGAGCCCTGGCTGTTCTTAGCCCTGGCTGTTCTTACCCTTGAGGCCCTCCTGTCAGCTTCCCAGGCAGAACCAAAGGATACCTAACGGAGCTCCCACACAAGCCTGCAAAGGCAATGCTAAAACCATGCTCATTTCCAGATCTGGGAACTCAAGCACAGAGAGGTTGAGTGACCTGCCTAAGATCCCACAGCTGGAGTTGGCCCAGCCACAATTCAGACCCAGCAGTCTGAATTGGGAATTAATAAGAAAATCTTCATTTTGGCTACGCCCAGGTGCTGGCAGCCTCCAAGCCCGGTACCAGCGACCGTACTTCCTGCACTCCATTGTAGGTGCTAGATTTACCAATTCTTTTATTACGGCTGCACTATGGCGGAGGGGTGGACAGCGCTTCCTGGTTAGGTCACAAAAGGACACGACTTTTGTACTGCTCTGCTTATGTGCAGCTGTGTGTGTCTGCATGTATGTGTGCCCACATGTGTGTTTGTGTGTATATGTATATGTGTATGCTGTGTGAATGTGTGTGTATATGTGCATGCATATGTTGTACGTATGTGTGTGTGCGCATGCATATGTTGTGTGTGTATGTGTGCATGCATATGCATATTGTATGTATGTGTGTGCATGTATATGTTGTGTGTGTGTATGTTGTGGGTGTATATGCATGAGTGTGTGTGTTTGTGTGTGGGTGCATGTGTATGTTGTGGGTGTACATGCATGAGTGTGTGTGTTTGTGTGTGTGTGCATGTGTATGTTGTGGGTGTATATGCATGAGCGTGTATATTTGTGTTTCTGTGCATGTGTATGTTGTGGGTGTATATGCATGAGCGTGTGTGTGTATGTGTGTGTGCATGTGTATGTTGTGGGTGTACATGCATGAGTGTGTGTGCGCACATGCATATGTTGTGTGTATATGTGCATGTATATGTTGTGTGTGTGCATGTGTATGTTGTGGGTGTAGATGCATGAGTGTGTGTGTTTGTGTGTGTGTGCATGTGTATGTTCTGGGTGTATATGCATGACCATGTGTGTTTGTGTGTGTGTCTGCATGTGTATGTTGTGGGTGTATATGCATGAGTGTGTGTGTTTGTGTGTGTATGTGTATGTTGTGGGTGTATATGCATGAGTGTGTGTGTTTGTGTGTGTGTGCATGTGTATGTTCTGGGTGTATATGCATGAGTATGTGTGTTTGTGTGTGTGTATGTGTATGTTGTGGGTGTATATGCATGAGCATGTATGTTTGTGTGTGTGTCTGCATGTGTATGTTGTGGGTGTATATGCATGAGTGTGTGTGTGTTTGTGTGTGTGCATGTGTATGTTGTAGTGTATATGCATGAGTGTGTGTGTGTTTGTGTGTGTGTGCATGTGTATGTTGTAGTGTATATGCATGAGCGTGTGTGTGTTTGTATGTGTGTGTTCACTCCCAGGGATGGAATCCAAGCTCTCTTGCATGCCAGTCCAGCTAGCCACATCTCCAGTCCTAGACGACATGCCTGCACAGCACAGGCTACTTAAACCTTCTTTCATTGTTTAGTGAATAGTCATTTACACTCCACTTCAGGGATAAAGATCCCACCTGTGTCTTCATTCTAAAAGAATTCTAAGTCTCAAGTGTCTCCATTTATTTGTATGTGTGTGTACATGTACATGTTCATGCATACAAGTGTTGTGGCATTTGTGTGGAGTTCAGAGGACAGCTTGTGGTAGTCAGTCCTTCCTCTACCGTGTGGGATCCCTGGATCAAACTTAGGCCTTCAGGCTTGATGGCAAGCACATCCACTGGCTGAATCATCTCAAAGGCCCAATTCTAAAAGCATCCTGAAGGATGCTTTGGTGGCCTCTCCCCTTTCCATCTGTGAAGTGGGGATTGTGTTCTAAACCCCGAGTCACCCTGTCCGGGACAAATAAACCGAGACAACTGTCTCAAAGTAGTGCTGGTGAGAAAGTTCTATTTAGAACTTTTTTCTACTGTGGTCTTCCCGCTCCCCTTTCTCCTTTGCATAGCTCTGTTCTTTCCTGGCGCCTCCCCAGGAGGCAGGGCAGCATCTGGGAGGTGAGAAGATGCTAGATTGGAGGTGGTGGCTGACTGCAGATGTAGGAAGCCGAGGGGTCTTCCCTTGCCCCCACCAGAGCTCCTCTGCCTCCGGACACATCAGCTCTCTGACCTTCAGAGACTCTGGAGGGATCAGCCTGGTCCTAGAGACACAGCACGGGGAAAGGCCGGCTACTGGAAAGGCCACGCCTCTCCCTCTGCCCCTCCACACACTTTGCCTGCTGTTTAACTAGAGGAGAGATGCCAGACCAAACCCCACAGCATGGTCTGCCCTGTGTCTTTTGCTTAGTCTTACCCTTTAAAAACAAAGTCCCTGCCTGGGAGTGATGGTGGTGCACGAGCCAGGTAGTGATGGCACTCACTTCTAATCCCAGTACTCGGGAGGAGGGACAGGAGGAGCTCTGAGTTCAAGGCCAGCCTGGTCTACAGAGTGAGCTCCAGGACAGCCAGGAGCACACAGAGGAAACCCTGTCTCAAAAAATTATGAATGAATGAATGAACGAACGAATGAACAAACAAATAAATAAATTCCC